CTTGATTTAACAACTGTTCAGGTCATTGCTTGTCTTGATGTGAGAACAAACGACAAAGGAGACCTTGTTGTAACCAAAGGAGACCAATATGACGTGAGAGAGCACACCAAAGAGAATGAGGTATAACTTGGTGCATTTTATAATAGTTCATGAATTTATGCATATCCGATAGAGATTGATCTATAAATCTATGCAAGAGTTGCTAGATTGTTGATATGCTCCCTCCCTCCTCCTCTGTCCTTCTATTCCCTCCTGTCTTTTCCTCAAATTCGATGCTGGACTATGTGGAATCTACTTTGTAGACCTTTTTTTTTGTCATTTTCCTAACTTGGAATTATTTTAGACATTTGCGTTTGTTTGCATCCAGTGCTTTTGCTTGTCCCCGTATTCTAAGATCTCAACTGAAAATTTCTTTTTCAACATCCTCTAAGCAACCTATCTTGGACCTTACATTATACTTCAAACTCTTATAATTGTTCCTTGTAGTTAGCGCCTATGAACACGGATTCTCCTTTATTCAGATACACATAAAATCTTCTGAGTCTTGAATGATGTATGAATTCACTGGATGTTGGAGCTTTTGATAATGTTCATTTAAAGGTTGTTACTATCATTTTACTTGATGAATTAAATACGAATTAATTTGATATAAGATCTGCAACATGCACTTCTATGTTATATTTCCCTTGTAGGTGAGGAACCTTGGCAAGCCAGTTGATCTTGCCGGACAATATTACCTGGATGGGGCTGATGAGGTATGCCTTAGCCTAGGAAAATTAACAGCGTGTTTGGTTACATAGAGACTTTATTACTTATCCCTCACAGAGCACACAGAAATGCAGTCTAATACAGAAACTCAAATTGATTGCAAATTGCACTCAGGTTAGCTTTTTGAATATTACTGGCTTCCGCGACTTCCCTCTTGGAGATTTGCCTATGTTGCAGGTTTGTTTTTCCAACGATTGTAATCTGATGTACTGCTCTATTTTCTTTCCCTATATGATCATTCAACTTCATAAATCCCATGATAAAATAAATCGTATCTATTTTGGCAACTTATGTTTTTCTAGTTTACATTTTCTTTTAGGTCTGTTCTTGCTTTAGCACTTGTAGCGAAATATTGTAATGTAAAACTTATCATAATTTTGGGAATAATCACTATTGGTAGGTTTCAGATAAATTTTTTAATATGTACATGGATTGGTGCCCCCTTGGCACCAATCAGTAGAACTTCTGCATGTTAAAGACGGCCTCTATTTGTGTTCCCTTGTAGGTATTGAGGTATACATCTGAGAATGTTTTTGTACCATTGACCGTTGGAGGAGGTATTCGTGATTTCACTGATGGATCTGGCAGGTATAGCTGTTTTCTTTAGCTTTCTTTCCATTGCGATTGTAGAAAACTTGAATTCATAGATTAAATAACTGGTCGCAGAACTTCGACAACAAAAGAATTTTATTGTGTAGATCTGGTTAACTTTTCTCAGGTACTACTCTAGTTTGGAAGTTGCTTCAGAATATTTCCGATCTGGTGCAGATAAGGTTTCCATTGGAAGTGATGCAGTTTATGCAGCTGAAGAATACTTGAAAACTGGAGTACTTATCCTCATTTTTTGTTTTTATATATAGATATACACATTTTTTTTTCTATTTTAAGTTAATGTTTCTATTTTATTTTTCAGGTAAGAAGTGGGAAGAGCAGCCTGGAGCAGATCTCCAAAGTTTATGGGAATCAGGTAGAGTTCATTGCCAATTCTAATTTCACTTTCCTTGTTCCTGATACCAAAATGACATACACCAACTTGCTTCTACATTGCCTTTTCCAAAATTGCATTGCCAGTTTTAATGAATTTGTCTGCTTTAATATCAGGCGGTTGTTGTAAGCATTGATCCTCGTAGGGTGTACTTGAAGGACCCCAATGATGTAGTATTCAAGGCTATAAGAGTAAGAAATCCAGGTGAGCAACTAGTGAAGAGTCTTAACAATATATATTTGCTCTGGAGTCCTTTGATTTGCAGATTCAATATAGTGCTGTGCAATGGATCTTGTTTAGAGCTGGCCGTCAGTAATTGTTCATTGTCCACAAATCTTCCAGTTATTACTTACAACTGTACATATTGAAACTCTACAAGTGCTACAGTCAGCTACTTAAAAAATAAAAATTGCAAATGGAGAAATCTGGTATTAAGAAGTAAATAAAAGTAGATAAAATGCGTAATTTGCTCGTGTTCATTTTCAGGTCCAAATGGAGAAGAATACGCGTGGTACCAATGCACAGTATGTACTCCTTCCTTTCTCTTTTGCCTTGCATGCACAGCAAAGTTAAATCTACATTTTGATTGCTTTCTCAGGTATCTCATGCCAGTCTAACTGAACCTCCTGTATGAAAAAGAATGACCTCTTTTGTTTGAAACTAGTGAGAGAGAAAAAAATGAATGAAGGTTGCAAATGATTAAGACTAACTTTGGTATATCGTATGTTCTGGCAATCATCACATATGAAATACTTCGCCAGTTGATCTAAGATCTGAATACTATGTGTTGGAAGTTTAGCCCTGTAGTGTGCCATAGATTGACAAGTGCAAATTATTGTGACTGATGGTTCCTGCATAATGGTTCTATTCTGCAAACTTTGTAGTCATTCAACATATTTTTTACCATGATTACAGCATGTAGATTACTCTTTTGTTGAAATTCAATTGGGATTTAAAAGCTCCCATATATGTAACATTGTAATGGTTTCTGGTCTCTAAACTTAAAAAACTATCTGATATGAGAAATACTGAGATTTCTATTTTCAGTATTCATTTTTATGTCATGCTTTGCGTATTGCTATCTTGAGATCCTTTTTGCTCAGTAAACTTGACCATTCTTAAGGTGAATGGCGGGAGAGAAGGTCGACCAATTGGAGCATACGAGCTTGCAAAAGCTGTGGAAGAATTGGGGGCTGGAGAAATACTCCTAAATTGCATAGACTGTGATGGTACGCATGATTTTTTGCAATCTTCCATAGAACTACCATGGGCTCTTTAGTCTTCGAAAATTATACGTGTGTGTGTGAAGTCATTTTAGAGGGTGTTGTGATGTTTTTCCAAAGTATAGTTGTCTTAAGGGACACATGCCATTTGGTTTTGCGTTCTCAGCAATCTGTAATGAGTCTTTTGATTGTCTATTTGATCCTTTCAGGTCAAGGAAAGGGCTTCGATATAGATCTAATAAAGCTGATCTCAGATGCTGTGAGCATTCCTGTAATTGCAAGTAGTGGTGCTGGAACTGTTGAACACTTCTCAGAAGTTTTCTTGGAAACAAATGCATCTGCTGGCCTTGCTGCTGGCATTTTTCATCGGAAGGAGGTATTTTGAACAAAAGACCAGAACTTTTTATTCTATTGTATTTTGTTCAGAAGTTAAAAACTTTCTATTTTTAGCTTTGGTATTCAGATGAACAAAACTTTCAGTTTCATTGAAGCTTCTGCTTGAGTACCTTATAAAGGATGTACCACTTATGCATGATCTACTATGAACTTAGGAGCATATTCGATATGCTTAGAAGTTACTTTTTTACAAAGTGAGTTAAAATTTACTTTCTAGAAAAGTAAGTTTCATTAGCTAAAAGAAATAACTTCGAAAATCATGTTAGACAAAATAAAACAAAAAAATAAGTTTGACATACATTTTAAACACTGCCAAACATACCTATTTGGCCACGTCTGTCAGTTACATCAATGACAAGGTATGCTGTTATTGATCTAAACAATGAGCTAACCTATATTGTGATAGCAATAAACTTTAGACATTTGAATTGGTAAAAGTAATAAGAAACCTGAATGTGCTTGTCCATATATTGATGCATTATTGATTTTGATCTCTGTTCATCATTTCATGAATTGCAGGTGCCTATTCAATCTGTGAAAGAGCACTTGTTAAAGACAGGCATAGAAGTTAGAATGTAATGGGATTTTCCCTTCTCAAAGCCCAGTCTCCATAGTCTTCACCACAGTTTTGTTTGTTCTGTGTATGAATTCGACCTCATGTCATAGTCACTCGGCATATTTTTGAATTTTGATTCTCCAATCTAGCCAATGGTGGTATTTAACTTTTTATACATTGTACTATAACCGTTTCTGTCATTAATGTATACTTTTGGACATTGCCATGTTTCTGTCATCTTGAATCTTTTCGTCTTTGAAATGTTGTACACATTGAAGAAAATATTCAAATATTCTACCAACCATTGGGGGACAGTCCAATGCTTGTTTACTATACTTGCTATTGTCTAGCTTTCTCTTTGATACATTTTTTTTGTGATATTATATGATTGGTCAATTTTTATTCGAATATTTTTGAAGGACACATAAATATTACCTATTTTATTCATTACTCATTTATATATATTAATAATTTAAACCATTTATAAACATTTCTCTTACATACTTTTTGTCAATTACTCATTTGTATCTATTAATAATATGAACCGTTTACAAACATTTCCCTTACATGCTTTTTGTCTATACTTGCCAGAACAACATAATGGTTGCATATGTAAAACAAAGCTAATTATTAGTTTTTTCGTTAAGATTGCAAAATAACAGCCAAATACAGTGCAGAACATGCATATTCATTTTATTGATTTATAGCATTTCCCATGCTATCAATTGTAGCCATTGAAGCAGTAGACACTTATAATGGATCGATTCTCCACCATCGTGCAGTCCTACATTGAAGTGTCACATATTCAGAAACTTCAAATTATTAAAATCAATCACAAGGTCAAGAACGGTACACAAAATAACCCTGAAAATAAGGAGTTGAACGAGATAGACGAAGGATCTCATTTCAAGCCGAGACACAGCTGACCGCAAACTGAAAATGATTTGGTTGCAAGGAAAAATGACAGTAAAACAAAACTTCCAATATGATGCATTTTACTCCGATCCAGTGAAGCTTGGAGAAACTCAAATATATTAGCAAATATGAAACTGCACCATTAGTGGATGCAGCTTCATATATCCAAGAGCAGCCGGCGAGGATCTTCCACAACATCTTTGATCCTTCTCAAAAAGAAAACCGCCTCTCTTCCATCAATCAGCCTATGGTCATATGTCAATGCAATGTACATCATCGGTCTTGGAACTATGTTACCGCTAACAACCATTGGACGGTTCACTATTGAGTGCATCCCAAGGATTGCAGACTACAATATCAAGTGAATCAAAGTAGAGTATAAGGTACGAGCTGAACAGAAGAACCAACCAATACAAAACCAGTAGGAGGACCAAACCTGAGGAGGATTTATAATGGGAGTGCTCAAAAGACTTCCATAGACACCTCCATTGGATATTGTAAATGTACCTCCAGCCATCTCATCAATTGATATAGTGCCAGCAGTTGCCTTCTTAGCAAGGGTGTTAATCTCTTTCTCAACTTCCGCAAAATTCATTCCACCGGCATCGCGGAGAACAGGAACCACGAGTCCCTATTAAAAATGAAAGGTTAATTAAAATTAAGAGGCAAACAAAAATTTTCCTACTTCATAGGGCTATAAAAGATTTTTCTCGTTTCTTCCAACATGCTACTTATGAAGAATATTTGGTTAGTCATATAGCACATGCTACTTATGAACAATATTTGGTTTGTCATGTAGCACAAACGCTGCCAGCATATGATTTTGTCTTTGAACATAAGAGACTTGCTTAGTATCTGATACAAAAGTTAAATACTATCTCTATTGAAAGACCTGTCACCCATTTTCCGTGATCAAGTGGACAACTTGAACCAAAATATAGGATGCCTCAATGGAATGTGTTGCAAATCTATACCATTAGCTCCACATAAAATGGTTTCTTGTAAATCAAACTGCATAGAGAAAAATAATGATGTCTTGCCTTCGGGGTGCCAACAGCTATGCTAATATCAATGTAGTCTCTGTAAATGATATCGTCACTGTCAATAACTGCGTTAACTATAGGTTGATTCTGGAGTGCACTAACAGCAGCCTGAAATTTAGGGAGACGAAGTAAACCATTAGACTTGAAGATATATTTGAAGAGAAGACTTGCAATAGGATATCTACATACTTTCACAAATCCAGACATAAGACCCAGCTTCACACCATGCTTTTCAACAAATGCATCCTTGTAGTCCGAACGAAGTTTCATTAAATTAGTCCTGTACCAAAGTCACAAATGTACAATATCAGAATTCTACAACCAAAGTAAAGAACATGGACAAAATGTCAATCTTTGCCCACTGATTATTTTTACATTCATAAGAGGAAGAATACTGTTGGGAACTTGAATTGACAATTTCAGGTATCTCCGCATTTTGTCAAGTTCTTCAATAAAATTTTATGTAACGGAAATAATGAACTACATTCCAATCAGTAACATGGGGAAATAAGATTAATTTCAAATCCAAAAATCTATTACACATTAACTAATGAACATCACAAAAACTTAAATAGATCGCAGGTGCTCACATAGTAAAACAACATTAATCTCATCTAGTTACTTAGCTTGAACTTAAATAACGAATCAAGGAAAACTAATAATTAACAGTTATAATACAGCTTGGCTACAAGTCCACAGATGAAAAATCATGCACCAATCAAGACAAGCAGAGTGAACTCTCTAATGCCAAAGATATCTAATCAGAGGAACTTGGTATAGATCAGCTGTACTACTCTTGAAACCAAAAGAAACACAGAGAGAGAGAGAGAGAGGGATTTACATATCAACTTCATTGAATGTTGTCAACAATGCAAATGTATTTTGAGAATCTTTTAATCGGGTGGCAACTCTTTTTCTGAGCCTTGTCATTGGCACCTGTCATATTGACAGATTCTAAAGTTTTTGAAGCAAGAAAAATTAAGAAATCAATTGCTCAAACATAAAGCAAAAATGATATCATTTCTTTTAAGCTTCAATATGTAATACAACAAGAAGAATATGGTACTCACTCGTCTTTCTCTGTCCTTAGGGGGCAGTTGGGGTTCTGTTGCAGATGGTTTAGGAGGTGAAGCTTCTTTAGGCTTTTCTGTGACAGGAGCGGTTTCCACTTTAGGCTTAGGCTTCTCCTTTTTCTCTTCAGCAGGAGGAGATGGCAGCGGAGCAGCTTTTTCAGAGGACTTATCATCAGATGGTGCAACATGAGTTACACCTTCAGCAGATTTTGATATGACAGCAATTTTAGTGCCAGGTTCTACAGTGTCTCCCTCCTTAGCTACAAACTAATAATATTCCAAAGGATATCAGCTTAAAATACTGAAAGATCAGAGAAGTCGGAAAGAAGCAAACTGTAGTCCAATATTATTGCTGATAGCCTACCTCCTGGATTACACCTGCTTCGGGACTATTGACATCAATGGTGACCTGATGGATGATAAACAACCCAAGTGACAACAGTAGTCGCATTAGCAATTTAAGGAAGTTATAGTACCTCAGAGCAATAATATGCACTTACTCGTCGCGATTTTTTGAGGCCTCGTGACCAAAAATGATGGATATAATAATATACTCATGGTTAACTGCTATTAAGAATGAGTACCTTGTCAGTTTCAACCTGAGCAATTGGCTCGTCAACTGCTACCCTGTCACCTGGTTCTGCTCAAACCCAAAAACAAAAGAAAGGGCATAAGCTCAGAAAATAATTGTTTGTGTGAAAGGGAATACGGTTTACATACAAATAAAGAAATACATACTCTTCAAGAAAGCTGCCAGTGTGCCATCAGTTATAGATTCACCCATATGAGGGACGACAGCATCAACAAGATCGCCTTCTACAGACATATAGACAACAGGGAAAAGTTGCAAGAGAGACTGATAAGTGATTGCATGCCTATGAAAAGAAGTTATAAGCTCTAAGATGCTTTATTTTAGTTGCAAATACTATGTTTCAAAGCACTGCAGAGTCTTGAAATAAAAAACTACAGCATAGACACCACAAGTTCAGATAGCCCCATAAATCAAATCAACATCATTACCTTCAAATCTAGTAGATAACAGAATGGATACCAAAACTACCCCCCTTTAACGATTTGCAACTCTCAAAGTAAAACAAAATCCATTCAAAGACTATTCTAAGTCTGCTTCATAGTTTCACGCAAACCAGATACATATAAATAAAAGATCATAATAGAACAAATGCATCCTCTTATCCCTTTCCTCCCAAAAAATGACAAATAGAAGAAAAAATTAACAAAGAGAGAGACTATAATTAGTCTGATTTAATTCAGTACTACATATCACTACTCAGATTTCTGTGGTTCTAAGTTTTTATTTGAAGAATCCAGTAACTAGGTTTTCCCCTTATGATGGCCCAAATCAATGTTGTTATCTTTAGAAGAAGAAAGACAAAGATATAATGTTATTGATGGAGATCGAGGCTTTCCCAAAAACAAGGAAAGATGTAGATCAAACAACATATCTAATAGTGCAAGAATGTTTCAGTGCAATATTCAGCTTGTAAGAAAAAAATCAATTTCGGGTTCAAATGAATACCGCTGTTGGAAGAGAATGATTTGCTCCATATTTGCATGTTAATATCTTGAGGAAGATTGGCTACAACTCCCCTGCATATAATGCAAAGAATCAAATTTATTGGCAGACATTTTTTCTTCACCAATAACCACCCTTAAGGTTTACAAGTTGCAACAGCTGTTTGATTAGACACATGGCCTGTTTGGAACAATCAATATTTACCACATCTTTCATGGGTCCCACATCTTTTTGAGGACACATTTCAAAAACTTCTATCACAATCCACTAAAATTTTAATCCCCACCAAACACCCTCACAGGTTTCTTCTTCTTTTTTTTAGGTCAAACAGATACAAAGTATTAACATCAAATAAAAGGATATCAGTAACAGGAAAATAGCGGAGAAATGCATGTTAAAGGACAGTGTTCAGATCCAGATCCTATCTAAAGAGTAACCTTTTATGTCATACATTATAGAATTTTACCAGAGAGGCTTCTAATATACCATGCCCAACACTAATAAGAGCAATACAAAATCTCGGTTATAACAGAAGTATATAAACGCCTCATGGAAGCAACTAGATTAATTCAACTATGATGTAAATGCCTCATGGAATCTCTTCGCACCTAATTCCTTGATGTACTTGAGCATCACAGTGCCCCTGGTGGGAAAACCCAGCATCCCCTCAGACATGACTTTGTTTTGCAGGTATCAATGTTTGAAAGATCCAAAGAAAAATTAAGAGTTTGACATGTTTCAGGAGTGGAACTGTAGAAGACAAATTTGGCCTGCCTCAACAGAAGTGAGTAGGTAATATAAATACAGAGCTGTGATTTCAAGGAGCATCCCTAATCACGTTTCCCTTAAAATTAACCATCTTGTGATTGCATCTTCACAAAATTAAATGGGGCAGCCTCCCAACTTCGCACCATACAGGAGTTGGGTTGCGAAGTGCATCAACAAAAGAAACATCAACTTGTCCTCGGTCTTAATCAGTTAATCTGCTGTCTAGCTCTCCTTTTATAATTTGGAAATTCTCTGACTAGCCTTAGCTTTAATTTTCATTAATCACAATTTTCATTAATCACATTCAATGCTGTCAAAATGCAATACTTGCATGGAAAACAATAATAGGTCAGTATTGGATAACTAACCTTGTTGGCCTCAAACTCATAGAGCAATCTGGAACAAAATGACAAATTCGAAGATCAATCTCAGATATAATGCAAGCACGTGTATAGATTAATTTTAATCACGAGCACAACAAGGTAGCCATACCAACTAAAGGAAGGTGACAGAAAGTTTGAGCATGACCAAATCCCCTTGGATGATGTATAATCTGTTCATATGCTCAAAATATAAGCTATGATGATGCAAATGTGTTAGAAGCAATCATGTGCTTGTTTAGATAAATTATGATCTCATTATAATTTGAAGTCAAAGTCAAACATTAATTTTAACCACACATTCAAAACTACTACCCACTTATTGGGACTCACTACTCCTTTTCATTATAATCCCATTATATTCTTCCAAACGAGCACTATGTTGACCATTAATACACCCACCTCATCTAGGTTCTGCAAATGATTCGGTGGATGATTCTTGACGAACAAATAGAACTGTATACAAAGTCTAAACTCAGCCTTTCACACAGTAAATTTTGGCAACCAGGTGTAATTCTCTACAAAGAGATGAAACCACGGCCATAACTTTTAACATTGGCAAAACTTTTTCTTGTCCACAAGTTGAACTTCTTTGGCATAAGAAATCAGTATACAAATAGAACAAAATATTAACAACTTATTAGGCCAGTGTAATCATATCTATTACAAGGACTAGGCAACTGACATTTCTGTGGCTGACCCCACTCAAGTAAATTTTGACATAATGTTTAACAACTTAAAATATCAACTAGATATAAAATCAAATTTTTGACTTCAAATTTTATTTTTTTCCGGAGTTTCATTGCCATTCTAAAAGCCATTAGTAGCTCTTCGGGAGTCTAAGAGAACATTTCCACGTTTAAACTTAAAAGTTCAGTAGCTATTAGTTCCAGCGTTTCATATCCAATCTTTAACCCGATTGTTGTTATTAATGTTCTGCATCGAACCAACTGTGGCAAGTGATGCAGGGGAAGATTATAGGAAAGACAAAAATCTCACAAAAAGAATTTCAATCATGAGAAATTCAAGGAAAAACTTTATTTCATTCAAAA